TTCTCAGGGCCAGTTCTAAGACAGTGACGGAATATATTGATCGTGTCTCTGCTGTCAGCGTCTATCCAGGGTTGAGTTAGAGACCTATCCACCACCGCCCCTTTACATCATCTACCTTCACGTGTTTGGTTCCTCGTTACGTTTGTTGTTAAAGGTATTAGTGTTTGGTTAATAAGAAGATGAGTTTGGGAAGGGTATTGGGTTTGTCCGCCACCGTCTTTGAGTTCGCCATGTACAGTCTTAAGAAGTGATTTTCCTCTCCTGTTTTTATTTTTTTCTCTTTCTCCTGGGTCTTTTTTCCCCTCCGTCCTCCTGCTAGTTTTCCTGTTTCCTCCCTTCCTCCCCTCCTTCGTTCCTTCTCCTAGGCCACCACCTGCTTGTTTCTCTCCTCCCTGGCCTCCTACATCACCAACTTCCTCCTCCCTGGCCTCCTACAGCCCAAGAGCTGCTTTTCCAACCTATCTCTCCGGGAGACTCGTGTAATTCGGTGGCGGGTTTGTTACTGTACTGTACTGTAGCCTTGGGTATATTTCTCTCTCATCTTACCACCGTATTCACTGTCACCACAACCACCACCGCTACTACTATTACCACCACCACCACCACCACCACCACCACCACCACTACTCCAATCACCACCACTACAACCACTACCACCACCACCATTACCACCATCAACTCCAATCACCACCACTACAACCACTACACAAATTACCACCACAACTACCCAAAGCATTACCACCTTCACCCATTGTACTCAAAGGGTTAAATCATCTTTATCAAAGGGTTAAACACCTGGATTAAATAGTCATATATCAAAGTAAAGTTAATATATTCTCATGTTTTAATTACGAGTCATGTTATTGAGCATAATGAAATGAAGGCATAGAATCACTATACCTGTGTGTTAGTACCTGTAGATTGAGGTTAGGTTAGGTTAGGTTAGGTTAGATGTGTCAGTACCTTTAGGATAGTTTAGGTTAGGTTAGGTTAGGTTAGGTTAGGTTAGGATAGGATAGGTTAGGTTAGGTTAGGTTAGGTAAGGATAGTTAATTCCTGGTTTAGTAAAGATCGCCCTTAGTCTTGCGGTGACCCTCAGTGAATTAAATGTTCATATGTTGTCTTGTAAACTGGGTGGTGAGTCTTACGTACATCAGGGGCTCTGTACTGTGATTGGCTGTTCATTCAGACTCACACACTCACTTGCTCACTCACTCACTCACTCACTCACTCGATCACTCACTCACTCGATCACTCACTCACTCACTCACTCACTCACACTCATTCATTCACTGACGGAGAAACAGTGACTCCTCTGTGATAGGCTTATATAATTTGCCAAATCCACTCAATACTAATCTTCTTAAACTCTCTCTCTCTCTCTCTCTCTCTCTCTCTCTCTCTCAATGATTGTGGTGGCTGGATAGTCAAGTAATAACTCGGCCACCACAATCCTCGATAAATATACTTTGTAATTCCTTAAAACTGTATTCATATTATTGTCATTGTTATTATCGTTATTATAGTCATTATTATTGTTTTTTTTATTTATTATTATTGTTATCGCTATTATTATTATTACTATTATTAATAGTTGTAGTAGTAGCTCCCTTTAGAACAAGTTAGAAAATGGCGACGATGGTATACCTATTATCACAAAAGCATCCTAACTTCCACCCATAAATTGTATATACATAGAAATTTATTGACATGAATTAACATATATATTGTTATGATGAATAAACGCATTTTATTATTATTATTATTTATTATTATTATTATTATTATTATTATTATTATTATTATTATTATTATTATTATTATTATTATTATTATTATTATTATTATTATTATTATTTAACTCGAATTCTTGATCATAAATATTAGCGTTGTGGAGGCTGGCGGTGGGGCGGCATTATTTGAGTTAATGATGTGAGAACGTTTCTAACTCACTAACTTCCAAGATTCTCTGAACTTCCCTCAGCAGGTAATGTTAAAGTGTTTCTTACTTGTTAACTTAAAAAAAACACACATTTGAAGTTTGTAAGGTTAATGTTCTCACTTAACTGGTTGTATAAGAACTTAACTGGTTGGCTTGTGAGAGTCTCCAAGGTCCCGTAGTTGAATTTTCTCTTTCAATTGGTAATGTGAGAATGTTTTTAACTGGCGAACTTACACAAGGACACAAAGATGACGGCAAAAATGGCTTCGAAATTAAACTGAGACTGTATTGTAATTAGATGCTTTCTCTAGTTGCCGGTAAGGTGGAGAAATAGTAACTATTTTTTTTTTTTTAGAATCGGAACATTGAGTGTTTGGTTGTTGTTGTTAGTCTGAATTATCAAAAGTTACTCAGTTATGTAAACGGTGATGGAGGAACACCTTGTACAGTAACTGGGGAACTTCTGCTACTACAGGAGGCAAGTGGTTAATATTACATAGATATTACAGTAACATTCAACAATAAGTAGATCGTTCTCAACCCTGTAAGGAGGCGAAGTTTCAGTAACTTGGGAATCTGTAAGACGGCAGCTAAAATGGCGTCGTAGTTGGACCTCGACTATACTATGACTTTGATGCATTTTCTCATCTCTATCCAGGGAAAGAAAGAATTAAACAAACGTGGGGATCTTTTGGGATGGCGGCCAAAATGGCATTAGAATTGCACCGAGAATTTGCCGTAAATAGTTGTGTTCTGCCAGTTACGAGGAAAAAAGAATTAAGGCAGGAACGCTAGAGGGCGAGGAGCGGGGGAGGGAGGAAATGGGGAAAGAAGGAGGGAGGAAGAGAGAGAGGGAGGGAGGGCGATAATTGTTAATCCTGGAGGCGCCGCACATTGTGGCAGCTGTTGCACCTCTGATTATGCATGTGGCTGGTCTTATCATACCCAAACATCTGTCCAGCCTGCCGCCGCTACCTCCCAGCCGGACCACAGCCACCCAGAAGAAATCTCCCTGAATTAATTAAAAGACAAATTAACCAAATTTTCTTTCAGCCGAGTTGGGAAAATGTTATTTGGAAAATAAACAATGAGTAGGAAGAGTTTGGGGGGGGATGAGAAGGAGGTGAAGGAAGGAGGAAGAAGGGGGATACGGAAGGAGGGGGAGGTGAGGGGGGAAGGTGATGGTAAGCCACAGACGCGTTAAAGTTGAGCTGTGGTTATCCTCAGCCGCGGAAGTCAGCCCTAGAGGCGGCCCCACCAGCTGCTACCTCGCTCTCAGTCTCCCCTTGCCCCACCGCCCCGTCATCCACCGCCCTCACAGCCTCGTCTTCCACCTGTCACTTCCCCCACATCCCTGTCTCCCACTCCACATCCCTGTCTCCCACTCCACATCCCTGTCTCCCACTCCACACCCCTGCCACCCACTCCACACCCCTGTCACCCACTCCACACCCCTGTCACCAACTCCACACCCTCTCATCCACCCCCTAACTCCGTCACCCACTCCCTAGCACCGCCACCCACTCCCTAGCACCGCCACCCACTCCCTAGCACCGCCACCCACTCCCTAGCGCCGCCACCCACTCCCTAGCACCGCCACCCACCACAAAGCACCGTCAGTAGGAGGGTTGGGTGGCAGGTTGGTATCATCAGTAGCGTAGCAGACTGAGGTAATATTGTTGAAGGTGTACCAGTGTAATGACCCCAAGTCTCACCACCCGACCCACGATCACCTAGGGCAGGTCCGGGCAGTGTGTGGCAGGCCAGGGCAGTGTAGGGCAGGTCAGGGTAGTGTAGGGCAGGCCAGGGCAGTGTAGGGCAGGTCAGGGTAGTGAAGTAGGCCAGGGTAGTGTAAGGGCGGGAATGTTGACAGACCAGAGAGTGTGGCAGGTCAGGAGAAGTGTGAAGGCAGGCCAGGGAGGGCAGGTCAGGTAGTGGCAGGAAGGGGTAGGTAAGGTGGCTAGGGGAATGTTAGACAGACCAGAAGAGGTGGCAGGTCAGGGAAGTGTGGGCGGTCAAGGCAGGTCAGGCAGTGTGTGGCAGGTCAGGGCAGTGTGTGGCAGGTCAGGGGACTGTGTGGCAGGTCAGGCAGTGTGTGTGGCAGTCAGGAGGTGTGGTAGGTCAGGCAGTGAAGTCACAGTGTGGTGCAGGTCAGAGCAGTGTGGGCAGGTCAGAGCAGTGTGTGGCAGGTCAGACAGTGTGGGCAGGTCAGGGTAGTGTAGGGCAAGCCAGAGGAGAGAGAGAGAGAGAGAGAGAGAGAGAGAGAGAGAGAGAGATCCAGTAAAGTAGCAGTAGAAGTAGCGGCGGTAACAGGATTAAGAGTGGGAAGATAAAGTGTCCCTCTTACCCTAAAACTGACCGATGAAGTGTTGTGATATTTTGAGTGCTGGAGGACCATCGGTACCTAAAGTATGTACTCGAGGGTATTACTGAGGAACATCGGTACCTAAAGTATGTACTCGAGGGTATTACTGAGGAACATCGGTACCTAAAGTATGTACTCGAAGGTATTACTGAGGAACATCGGTACCTAAATTATGTACTCGAAGGTATTACTGAGGAACATCGGTACCTAAAGTATGTACTCGAGGGTATTACTGAGGACCATCGGTACCTAAAGTATGTACTCGAGGGTATTACAGGATTAAATAATTTTTCCAACATTGTGACATTCTTTTTTGTGGTGTTTTTCTGAGAGTTTCTGGGATGAAGAGTAATGACGATCCGGGTATTCACGTTAAGGGATTAGTAATTTAATTTTTTTTTTATTTTTACTTTTTTTTCATTGTTATTTGTAGTTTATCTCAAAGGATTAAATACAGTAATTATTTACATTACGGTCAGAAATGCTTTTATCAATGGTAAAAAAAAAAATCTAGGTATCAGAGGTTATTTCTAGGTACTTGTAGTGACTTGTCAGGACATATGTTGGAGAATTGATGCAACAATGAATACCCCGGGACAGGTAAAGTACATCACGTCAATTTCATTTTTTTTATTGACATTTAATTATTTATTTGTGTTGACGTAGCTAAGTCCTGGTTTCTTTTCCCTACAGAAGACGGTGGGCGTGGGTGTGCCATGCGTGAGGTCAGGCAGCATGACCGACTCTGACCTGTTCAGCCGGGGTCGTGGTTGTTCCCGCCGCTGGTGTGTGTGTCTCATCCTGGCCGTCCTCTTCGTCTCCCTCGGTGCAGCTGCCGGCATCTACTTCGCCTGTAAGTACCTCGAACCTGCCGCCTTATCCATGTATGTACGGTATGTATAGGGATATTTACATCTAATTTCTCGGGTAATTTTTTTTTAATCGTGTTATTGTGTGGTGATATAAGAGGCAGAGTAGCGTTGGCCAGCTGTGAGGTACACATCAGGTGTTGTCTGTTGTAACTGTAGTAGTACGTGGTGCGACTAGTGGTAGTAATGATTGTTTTTTTTTTGTGATTTAGACGGTGCTTCTCTCTCTCTCTCTCTCTCTCTCTCTCTCTCTCTCTCTCTCTCTCCTACGAACTGCGAAGTATCCCCGCCACAGGAGTGAGGAGGTCACCCCCACCTCTCTCGGTTTAGTGAGTCTCTCTCTCATCTCACATAGAACAGTTTCAATAATGGCCACTTGTCTCTTGGACTGCTTTATGTCTCAGATGACGAGCTCAGCGCAGCAGCGGGAGCAGAGTCACTTACCCAGAGGAACGAACAAACCCCACCACTATGTTAGTGATTGAAAAATACCAAAGTTCATATGATATTTTCGAGAGTATTGTGTACCCTCTGATCTCCTTGAGTACGATGACTGAACTCCTTAAATACGGTGATCTGTCCCCTTGAGTACGATGGCTGAACTCCTAAATACGGTGATCTGTCCCCTTGAGTACGATGGCTGAACCCCTTAAATACGGTGACCTGTTCCCTTGAGTACGATGGCTGAACCCCCTAAATACGGTGACCTGTCCCCTTGAGTACGATGGCTGAACCCCCTAAATACGGTGACCTGTCCCCTTGAGTACAATGACATTATACACAGGGTGGTTCTGACATCATACTCAAGGGGTTAAAATTCAGGATTGAAAGCTGGTACTCTCCTAAGGTGGATGAGTTTGCTGAACGATTATTTGGTAACTCCAGCATCAGGGAAGAGATTACTGTACAGGTCGTCACCCCTTGCAGGCCAAAAGAAGGTTGTAGGTGTATAGGTAGTAGGTAGGTGATGTGTGTGTGTACGTTGGTAAAGTAGACGTTCAGGTTACTGTTCCTTCACACACACACACACACACACACACACACACACACACACACACACACACACACACACACACACACACACACACACACAATATCAAACACTCGGCGCTTTTGAAATGTACATTACGATATAAGTTGTGACGATAATGACAACAATACCTCATTAGTTTCCAAAGACACAATACACCAACAAGAGTCTTATGCACTTGTGTAATAAGGTCGATGATGCTAACAGTAAAGACGTAAATCACATGTAACATTTTAACATTCCTAATAAAGTTCTTGTAGTATCAAAAGTGTAGTATACTTAACAGTACCGGCCAGGGAGTGTATGTATGTATGTATGTATGTATGTATGTATGTATGTATGTATGTATGTATGTATGTATGTATGTACCATGTATGTATGTATTCTTATTCAAATTATCAAACTATTTTAAATCGCAACTATAGACCCTAACTGTTAATCTATCTAATTAAAGAAAATAATTATATTTTTCTTAGTAAAATTGTCAAAATATTACGAAACTCTTTATCAGTCACAAAGTATACATATGTTTGTATACTTGTTATATAAAGTCCTCCGGAACGCATAATTGTATAACCTTAACGTGTAGTATTAGATATATCCTTTAGTATAACTGTAATGATGGGTATATAAACCTGATATATATGTTCGGTATATTATTTATTATATAACCGGTATATAAATCTCATATACTAATACTCCATAAACTGATACTTGATAAAGTTTGGTTAAATCTATCTATCAAGCCTCCTTATAATGATACTGATACCTGATAGATAAGGTTAGTATCAGTGATAGTGTTAGGGAGGCTCAGATCAACTTTCTGGTGGGAGGGGGGGGTCACGTTGTCAGGGTATCGTCGCTATTTCCGCATTACCTTTTCGACAGTATCGTGTGAATGATACATGACTGCTATTTAAGCTCGCATCTCATTAGCATATACAGGGATATTAAAAACAGTATTGTGTGAATTGATTACACAGCGGGAGGTGTTGTTGGAATGCCAAATTATAGGGAGTGGGAAACGGGAAATATAAGCGAGGTCTCTCTCTCTCTCTCATTAATCTACCTGTATTTCTATAATTATACTTCAGGTGTTTGCTGGAGAAGATAATTTCGATAATTGGTTGAAATAGGATTACCTGCTGATAATTTTTTTTTTTGTGGGTGTTGGGATAAAATTATACGGTATATATAATTGCGTTGTCGGTATTTTACATATAATTACTTGGTCGGGATAGAATTATATTGAGAATTACTAGGTCGGGTTATTGATAATTGCCTACTTCGGGTTACCATTCGCATATTACCTGTAGTTATTAATAATTTGATAAGCCATTGAGTCAGACACCGTAAAGATTTACCAAGAACTTGTGTATATACTGTATAATGTAAGAAAGATTCCCGGTACACGAAGGTACACGAACCATTCCAGTATGTTTTAGAACTTGTACCCGTTACCGTCAGATGTTTTTTTTTTCGGGAATTTTGGGTTATTCCAGATTTCCAAAGTCATAATATATCAAGTGTTGGCGTGATTTTTTGGGAAGTTTGATGTTTATTCAGGTATATAAGAGATTTCTTGAGGCTTTGGAATTCATCGTTTCTCCAGAATATTCCAGAAACTCGTAAAATTACAAAAAAAAAAAGTCACTGGAAGTCACTGCTTATGTAAGATCTTTCTGAAATCTCATTAATTCCAAGAACAAGGAATTCCCATAAAATATTTCAGGAATCCGTATTTTTTTATTCTTTCAGGAACTCGTATCATTCCCGAAACAAGAAATATTCCAGATTGTTCCATAATTTCATGTTACTTATAAAAAAAAACTTCCAGGAACGCGTGTCATTCCAGATTGTTCCTGATGCCCGTGTTATTGTGTGACGTCTTAGGGAAACACGAGTGATTCAATAGAGTGGTTTTGAAACTCTGTGCAGTTCCAGACTATTCCAGACGCTCGTGATATTCCAGAAAATCGCTTTACTCCAGAATGTTCCAGGTATCCGAGTTAATCAGATTGTAAATCCTACGAGTAATTGAACTAATCAAAGACGCTTGTAGTCCTGGTTTTGGGGAGGGAGGGAAGCCAACCCTCTAGTGACGCCGGCGAGACTGTGTGTGTGCGTCTCTCTCTCTCTCTCTCTCTCTCTCTCTCTCTCTCTCCTTGTACATACAGTATTTCTTTCGCTGCCCCGTTCTCTCTTCACTCTTCTCTCTCTCCCTTCCTTGCACCCAGTTCTTCATTTTAATCCCTGTACTGTTCACCTTCCCGCCTCTCGTCGTCCTCACGGTGGACTAACAACAACACACACTAATTAAAACGACATCATCCTCTCCCACAGCCTCTGGCGCACGATCTGTTTTTAAGTGTGCGCCTCACGCCTATTGTTTACGGGATTACTTCCTCCACCCGCTGCCAGGGGGGATCACCCACACATATTCACGGAATATCTCGAGCACTTTTCTTTTTATAATAATAAATAGTCTTGTTTCTACGGGATATTTTATACAGATCAATATTTATAAGAATGGATTGCTTTTTATGCGTATTGTGTGACGCATATTTTATTTTTTCAATGTCCGGTTATATGTTTGTTTTTGTTTTTTACATTCATTTCAATTCTGTAAGTTGGATTTCTGTTGATAAAATGTTCCCGTACTTTTTCATGTAATGGAAGACAATGTGCAACCCCGGGTCAGTTTTAGATGAAGTGGTGGCGCCTTAGATGAAGTAACACACGGGCTACCAACTCAAAATATCTCTTTGTGTACTTGTCATGGTAACCAATTTCATCACCACTCCAAAAGCATAAACTCTCTTTCTTTCCGATGACTTGTAATGTGATATAAATATATATATATATTTATTTATTTAGTTTATTTCGCAATTAGTTAATTATAGTGTCGTGTGAGTGGCTTGGTTTACAGGTGCCGAAACTAGCATTAAGTATATAAGGCTGTGTCAGACGGCTTGAATAATTATACTGAGCTGCGAATCTTCTTCTGTTGTACTCTCCTCCTCCTTCTCTTTCCTCCTCCTTTCCTCTCCTCCTTCTTCCTCTCTTCCTCCTCCCCCTCTCTCTTCCTTCTCCCTCTCCTCTTCCTCCTCTCCTCTCCTCCTCTCCTCCTCCGCCCACCCCCCCCTCCACATGGGTCAAGTTTGCTACTCAAGGACTAAGAGGATTATGGCTGCCAGTTCCCCTTCTCCCCAGACCAACTTTACCGTCATGTCACCCAACAACACGAAACAAATTAGTTCATGTACTGATCAATGAACACCCAAAATCAGTAGTTTCTTTTATTTAGACTATCCTACGACACACACACACACACACACACACACACACACACACACACACACACACACACGAAAAATCAGGAGAATATAACCGAGTTGGTTTTATTGGTTGTCGGAGATGAGGGAGGAAATTGGCATGAAGAATCGTTTGAGAAGCCATAGTTGGTGCCGGGGTTAAGGTGGAGAGGTCATGGCAGCGAGTGGAAGAGGGAGGACTTAGCGTGGATGACGGAGGTAGAATGGAGGAGAGGTGGAGGAGAAGACAGACAGACAGACACACAGACAGCAGCAGTGATCATTTCTTTCTGTCTGTCTGTCTGTCTGTCCACCCGTTCGTTCGTTCGTTCGTTCGTGACACAATCGGTTTCCGTTTAATAACTTACCATATATTGGGCGTCTTACCAGTCAAGTATTAGTCATTTTCAGTCAACCTAACCTAACCTAACCTATGCACTGCTTGTAATGGCTCTAGTTTAATGATAGAAAACTCATAGCTAAAATTGCCTTGTAACGGAATGGTCGACGCTACCTTAATGACTCAATAAGTTAAATAAACATAATACTGGTCACTAGGGAAGGTGTTGTATATTGGTGTTAATATCTGAAGGTGCGGGACTAACAGTGATAGGAACATATCCAAGGATTGACCCATATA